GCCAGCCTTTTTTTTAATTGCTGTATTTCTTTCTCGTTGTTTTCACTTTTTTTCACAGCACTATCTGCAGCTGACCTTGCTGTTTTAACCTCTTCCACTAATTGCCCAAACTTAGATTGAAGCGTTTTTAGGTCTTGTCTAATATTTTTCTCCATATTAGTTATCAACTCCGACAGTTCTTTAACTTCACGTTTTGTCGCCATTATGCTTGTTATGTTGTTTTGTTGTTTTCGCGGTGAGTATTATTGCTTGTAATTAGCAAGGAAAAACTCACCAAGTCAAGGGAAAGTTTGTAGCTGAGTTTCCGGAACCTCCTCAAAAGTTCCTTCAGGCTTATCTTTCAATTGTTTGGTTGTATTATAGTTTTATCTGTAAGTTTCCTGGAGGGCGATGTAAAGGCGTCTAGCTTCGTCGACGCATGCGCAGATCTCTCATTAGTTGAACCCTGTCATCACCCTGGGAAGACGAGAGAAGTCAAGGGTGATGCAATCTCGGCTCTGATGCCACCTCCACCCTTTCGGCCTCAGGGCTTCCGAGGGGCTGAGGGCTGACATGAGGGGCAGGAAAGCTGGTCCAGCAGGGCACCTCTTGGGCAGACCCTTTGCCATGGCTGTAGAGAAAAATTCAAAAACCGCACACCCCTCTTCTTAAGACGAGCACAACAGCCTGAAGCATGTCCCACCAATTCTTGTTGTCTCATGACTACAGTGTACCCATTTCCCCTTTCAGGGAGAGAAGCCCTTCCTGTAAAGGCATTTTCTGTTTATTTTATTGGTCCTGCTGAAACCGTTCAAGTCTGATTTGAAGACCAAGAACTCCACACAAGGGCGATCAGGGTGTTGAAGTTGACTTCTTGGGGTTAGGAGGAGCACCCGGGCAGGCAAACCACCAAGGGCACGTGTCAAACTGGGTCACCGTCTTTTCCACTCACGTGAGGTGTGTTGTGATTTCTGTTTGAAGGACGCCTCCTGGTTTCTAATTTTGCACCCGGGCATAGAAATTAGCCTATGCCAGTTTATGCAAACCGGCGTCCTTCTTTCTTCCCCCTTTTGCCTGTCTTTAAGTGGCCACTCTAATTATTACATCTTTGTAATAATTATCTTTGTAGTAATTATCTTTGAAGGCTCTGCTTTGGTAGATGCTAGTTCTGTACTTATTTACCCTTAAACCTCGTTCTGGAAAGTTATTTTGGGAATATGCCCCTTGCATTTTATGTGCTGGCTGGATTTCCTGCATTAGAAGTGTTTTGCCTTAACAAACTGTTGTGTTCCTTCAGATTCTGCAACTCTGTGATTTGCTTAATAGGAAGGACGGTGGCATCATTCACAAGTTGACAGCAATCAAATTAAATCTAAATCTACTAAACTTTCTGATTATTATCTGATACTGAAAGCTCATTCATTAGGTGTAATGCAAGAGGATGCCAAAGTTCTTTCCAGTAAACAAAAACATCCTCTCGTAATTTGACTAGTCATTAATTAAATGATATATATTAGAACTGGGTGGTAAATTCTAGGATATTGGAGGTCTTTGTTATTTTATTTTTTTTGCAGTCATAAGAACTGGCCTGTCTTCAATATTTATGTTACAACCCCACCCCTACTTACCTCTGAGAAGTAAGACCCATAAATGCAAAGGGATTACCGTCTGACTCAATAAATATAGGATTGAGTTGATTTATAGCCATTACTCATAGTGTTTTTTTTTCTCTCCCCATAGCTCAAAGTGCTTCATATATTTACTCTTGGCAAACCCAGGACCTGAGAGCCATTGTGGCATACAGCATCCAACTAGAATTTGGAAGACCTGGGTTCAAATCCCCACACTGCGGTGAAAGCTCATCAGGAGGTGGCAATGATAAAGCTCTCCTTGAATATCTCACATACTTTGAAAACTCGATTGGGTTCACCACAAGTCAAAAGGGGCTTTGACAGCACAGAAAAACACTAAATCCTAACAATGACCTCATAAGAGAGGATGTTTTACCCCAAGCAGCAAGAGTTGAGATGTGCACTAGCCAAGGTTAAGCAACCTGTCTGCTTACAGACATGACTGTCTATGCCCGAGATTTCTAATGATCATGGTGCCCAACGTCAATGCAGCCATATGGCATCATTTCCCACCTGCCTCCTTTCTGGTTTGTCCATGGCAAAGAGCTTGAAATGCCCGTGATCTCTTTGCTTAATGCCTGCTCTGGCTCCAACCTAGAGTAGCTTCTAAAAGGCCATGGACTCATGGCATGAAGGACGTGGAAGAACTTGCCCGCTCACACTTTGACCCTCATACATCACAGTCCTGGGAGATGGGGAGAGGGCAGGACACCACTTCCACCTGATGTGGCGGACGGAATGGAAGTCAACGGCACCCACCACAGTTAAAAAAATAATAACAATTTATAGCTCAAGGGTTTAGGTCACTGAAGGTTCAGATCCCCCCCCCTCAGGCCCCTTTGACATGGGTTGGACTTGATGATCCATAGGGTCCCTTCCAGCTCTGTGGCTTTAGGAGGATGATGATGATTTAAACAATCATTGGTTAGTGCCTCTATCAGATCACCAACAAGTCAAAGAAACCCAAGGTGAGTTTTGAACACCTCCTGGATTTTTCCTTCTTTGTGATGTTGACACCTTTCTATAGCCTCTGTGCCCGCCAACCCTAATCCAAACCCTAGTCTTTATCTCAAAAAGCGTCCTTCTCCAAAGTGGGGGCATTTTTGAGCAAGGCACAGATTTTAGCTGGTTTCACCGGAGTCTGGTGGCCGACCTTGGAGGAAGACCGGGTTAGGGCAGACTCATCTCTCCGAGAGCCAAGGCCA